GGCTAGGTAACGCGTCAGCGTATGGTACGATACTGACAGGAATAGTCTCGAACTGTCCTTTTTCTACATTTCATCCCATGAGAATAGTTACGTGTGTGAGCTGGTGTGAAAGTTCCTATGCATATGTGAAAGTTCCGTTACTGCGGTCTAAAAGGTTTTACAAACGTTCCGAAACGGTTAGATAGTGTTAAGAGAGTCAACCAATGCTTTTGTGGGCCGATTGCTATGCAAGGATAACGAGTGTGCGACGACGCCTGCACGACGATGCGTGTACGAGGAGCCTGTGCGAGGAAGCCTGTACGATTACGCGTGTACAACGACGACCTCTTTGCGAAACAGTGATTCGGTGCCTGGGGGGAAGGTCACTCGGACTAGTCGATGTATGCAGGTGTTCTCTCAAGTCATAGTGTACCTTTTCATTTTCTTCCCATAACAAGTGCACCACAACATAGGGCATGTCAACTATGTATATCTGTGCATTTTACTTGTGTATGGAACATCAATGCTCTTGTTGATGGTGTCTATTTACTCATGCACTTTAGTGTAGTATAGCATTGACTAAAAATGGTATTGTTCCTTTCAAGCAATGCAATGTCAGCAAATTAGTAATATTGCCAACGTTTTACAGTGTGACTATCTGTCAAATGTTGAAAATTATTACATTAGGCTGTAGTGAGTAGCACTGTAGAGAGTTCAACACTTTCTAGGTTTGCTATTTGTATCACTCACTTTCCTAGTTGATTCATTCAGTTGTGTTCCTACTTTGAGATGGTATCAGTTAGGTTCGTGTTCGCCTAGCCTAGCCTAGCCCGTGTTCGCGCCCTAGCGCTCTCCGCACCCTCCGCGCCCTAGCGCCCTCCGCGCCCTCCGCGCTCTCGCGCCCTCAGCGGGTATGTTGCCAAAAAACTGCACCTCCGTCTGCTCGTTGCGCTCGAAGTGCACATACATGATCATGTGCTTGCCGTGCGCGCGGTCCGTGCTCTCGTCGAATGAGAGCCCGTAACATGGCGAGGCTTGGACGTCTGCCAGCTGGCGCCCTTGGAGGTAGCTTGCGAGCGCCGAAACAAACTCGCCGCATGCGTATCTGCAAAGGTGCATAAGCAGAATGTTAGATTGTATAATGGTAACAAGCAGAAACAACAACGCATTACCTTGAGTAGTATCGCCCGTATGCCTCTTCATTAGTCATGTCTGGGCAGCCCTGCTCAGCCATGAACTTAACAAGAAGCGTGTAGAGCATGATTGGTGCATCATTTCGACAACACCAGTAAGCTGCCTGAAGACATTTCACCACTCTGCGGGTCAGCGGCTCAGCGCTCAGAAGTTCTAGGATACTACGCTGTTGCCTCTCTGTGCCCTTAGCGATATGGTCGGCCGTCACAGCAGCAAGGTGCAGCCTCGAGAACTCATGACCTCTGCAACACCCCACCTGAAAATCACGCGCTCCTATGCCAAGAGGGCCAAACGGAGATTTGCTGTTCTTGGCATGGGCTTTGCAGATCTTACACTTCATACCGTACATCTGTTGCTCGTCGTCATACTCGAGCACCAACCACTTGAAGGTTTGCTTCCGCCCAGGGTTCCACTTCTCGACCAGTTTCTTCTCCGACGCAGGGACATCCATGCGTTCCGCGGGATTATCCACAGCAGGAGCGACCTTGTCATCCACGGTCGACACCTTCCTCGAGCGCTTACGAGGTGGAAGGTGTGGTCCCGACCATGACAGTCGCGTCTGACGCATGCGCTGGCCCGGAGTGGAAGAAGCTTCACTGGCGCGGCGAGACACACGATCGACTAGCTGGACCTCGACCTCGTGGAAGTTCTCATCAGCGCCATCACCGGTACTCTCTTTCTCACTATTAGAGTCTAAGGCGTTCTCGTCATCGCCATCACCAAGACTCTCGTGCTCACTATCCGAATCTAAGGCGTCGGGCCTTTCAGAGTGGACGGGGGTGTTGAAAACTCGAGGTACTGGGACGGTCGATGCTGTACGTGTCTCACTAGAAAGCTCCATTTCTGCCACGATGCGTAAGTGTTAAACATGGGCTTTTTTAATAGGCAGTGCCTTGTGTGAGAGCTAGAAGGGATTGATGGATGGAGTACGAGATTAGAGGAGAAAGGTGACGGAGGGAAGGCTGGCTTGGCGTGGCGTGGCACGTCCTCTCTTTCTCCTCGTCTCGTCGTCGTACCGTCGTGCAGTACGAGGCGCACTGCACGAGGGGGATCTGACATGTGTTTTTCTGCTGCTGGGCTGGTGCGTGCTTGCTGGGGCACTGCACGACGGGGATATGAGATGTCCGTTGCTGCAGCAAGTCCGATTCGTGCTTCTGTCTGTGTGTTGTGGCAAGGGAGCGAGGATGTGATTGGATTGGCACAAACACAAGTTCTATGTTGAGTTGAATTGTGAGTGACCCAATCACGCAACTCCAAGTTTGCCAGGTTGGTTGGATTGGATTGGATGGATCCATTCAAGATTGAAACGCGGGGTGGGAGGGGGGGGGGGGGGGGGGGGGGGGGCTATGGAGGTTTTTTGGGGGGGGGGGGGACTCGAAAGATTTTGTTCCAGGGCTCGATTAAAATCTACCCTTTACACTCCAGACCTAAGCCCTGATTGAGCCCTGTAAGGAATCAGGGCCAGAAAATTTCCAACCCACCAATTTCAGAATTCAAGGGCAACACAGCCCTGGAATTCAAGGTCCAGCAGGGCAAACGCCCTGCAAGCGACAGGCCTGGTGCTAGGGTTAGGTTTGCTATATCTACCCTTGTACTTGCTCATTCCAGTCATTCACTCTTCCAGTTCTATCTCTGACATGGTATAGAGCTTAGTTCGTTCCCATGGGCCCACCTCCGCACGCCCCGTTCGTTGCTCTATAGCCGCCCGTAGCGCGCTCGCCGCCCGTTGGTTCACTCGTTTTAGGGTTTCACATGCTAGCCGCTTGGTAGCCGCCCGTTAGCCGCCCATCCGCCGTCTGTTCGCCGTCCGTTGCCTTCCCCCTCTCTCTGCGCCATGCTGCTTTCCCTTGAGGGAGACCCCGAAGCCCTTGACATATCGACACCTCGCACGTACCGTGAGGCAGTGTCAGGGGAGTGGGCCTCTCAGTGGAAAGCGGCCATGGATGCAGAGCTAGCGTCTTGGAGATCCACAGGCACGTACGTCGATGCAGTTCCCCCTCCCAGGGCGAACGTTGTCGATGGCATTTGGCTCTTCAAGGTGAAGCGGCCGCCTGGTTCACCGCCTATGTTCAAGGCGCGCTACCTGGCTAGGGGTTTTAGTCAGCGTGAGGGAGTTGATTTTTTCCTGACCTTCGCCTCGACCCCGAAGATGACTACTCTTCGGGTGTTACTGCACGTAGCAGCACAGCGAGACTATGAGCTGCACTCCCTTGACTTCTCCACTGCGTTTCTCCAGGGCCGTCTACACGAGGAGATCTGGCTGCGCCGTCCTCCTGGCTTCACTGACACCTTCCCACCTGGGACCCAGTGGAGCCTGAGGCGGCCAGTCTACGGTCTCCGCCAGTCGCCCTGTGAGTGGCATGACACTCTTCGCTCCACGCTTCGTGACCTTGGGTTTTGTCCGTCCTCTGCCGACCCGTCATTGTTTGTTCGCACTGGTTCCACTCCTTTCTTTATACTAGTGTACGTCGACGACTTGGTCTTTGCTACAGCAGACAGGGCAGCTCTGACTGAGGTGAAATCCGAACTGCAGAAGAGACACAAGTGCACTGACCTCGATGAACTGTAGCTCTACCTTGGCCTGCAGATCACCCGGGACAGAGCCGCTCGCACCATCACACTGACTCAGTCACACATGGTGCAGCGGGTCCTTCAGCGGTTCGGGCTTCAGTTCTCCACCACACATCCCACTCCTTTTGCGTTAGACCACAGACTCACCGGCCTTTTTCCCGACGAGCCCTTTGAGCCTAGTGGTCCCTACCCATACTTTGTGGGCTGCCTCATCTACCTGATGACTTGTACACGTTCGGACCTCGCCTTTCCCCTCAGCATCATCTCTTGCTTTGTTGTGACTAGGAGACACCGTCCTATCCACTGGACAGCTGCGGTGAGGGTGGCGAAGTACCTAGCCACTACATCAGGCGTGGGGCTTGTGTTGGGTGGGACACAGCCAGTTGTGTTGACCGGTCACTGCGACTCCGCATACACTGACGTGGAGACTCAGCGCTCGACTCAGGGAACTGCTTCAGTCTGGATGCTGGTGCTGTGTCGTGGAGGTCTACACGGTCGTCGTCTGTGACTTCGTCTAGTGCAGAGGCAGAGATCTACGTTGGTGCCATGGCGGCACAGGAGCTTCGCTGGTTGACCTTCTTGCTCGCCGACCTTGGTATGCGGCCTCGCTTTGCACCGACCTTGTACGCTGACAACAATGCCATGATCCGCCTGTGTCGAGAGCCTCGACTGGAGAGCAGAGTTAAGCATATTGACGTGAGGTACTTCCTCCTACGAGAGTTGCAGCAACGCGGCCAGGCACGCTTGGACTTTGTGGCCTCAGAGGCCAACACTGCCGATGTCTTCACCAAGGCCTTGGCGCCTGGTGACCACCACAGGTTCTGTGTGCAGTTGGGGCTTGTTGAGGTATACCCTCGATTGCTGTAGACTTGCTGTTTGCTCTGCTTGTTGTGCTTTGCTATATAGATCTTAGTGAACTCTTGAATTGGCCTTGTGGCCGCTTGCTTGTGCTCGGAATTTGTGTGGTGTCATTGAGATCCACCCTGAGTTTGCTTTGATTCTTGCATTGACTGGTCTTGTGACCGTTTGTTCACCCTGCTTGCTTTGATGCCCCTCAATTGCCTATGGGGGTGTGTCAAATGTTGAACATTGTTATAATAGGTTGTTGTGAGTAGCACTGTAGAGAGTCCAACACTTTTTAGGTTTGCTATTTGTATCACTCACTTTCCTAGTTGATTCATTCCGTTGTGTTCCTACTTTGAGATTATCTAACAGCACGTGAAGTTGTTACTAACTAATACACACACGTCTGTTGTTTAGTAGTAATAACGTCTCCTACCAAACTTGTGATACCTGGGCAGACCGAAATTCGGGTAAGCTGGGGCAGCAGGTGGGGCAGGTGGGGCAGGAGGTGCAACAAGCGGAAGCATTTTCTTCCTCTCCAGCATCATTTTGAACGTCTCCTCTGCCTCTACCTGCTTCCGAACGTCCGCTCCTGCTCCGAGCCTCGCCATCCGGTCCGGGTGATACCGAAGCAGCGCCTTCTTGAAAGCTGCTTCAACCTGTGAAGCAGGAGTGGGAAACAGGATGAGTAAGCGACAAACAGGTGAACGATCAGAGAGCGAGGTATTGGGTGAAATATCAAGGAAACTACTAAGGAGAGGGCAGTGCGAGCGATGCCATTTTTTTTCACCTGCTGAGTGGATGGCTGTGGCATGCCATCAACTTTGATCCCAATTTTATCCAGGACCGATGCAAAGTCACGGCACCCTGCCAGGCGCTTGGCAAGGTCAGCATGGACCGATGCTCTTAGCTGATCCTTGAGGCCTGATGCCTTCTCCACCTGAGGAGAGCAAGAATAGCAGAAGAGAGGCAGGAGTAGAACCGAAAAAGGAGAGGAGCACTGAAGGCACCCTGCCAGGCGCTTGGCAAGGTCAGCATGCACCGATGATCCCTGCTGATCCTTGAGGCCCGTTGCGCGCTCGACCTTACGAGAACAAGAGGGAGTGTACGCAAAGAGAAAGGAAGGAGTAGAGGCAGCAACGGAAAGGAGCAGTCATGTGTCACCCTGCCAGGCGAGTGTGCACCAAAGCTATCAGCTGCTCCTTGAGGCCTGATGCCCTCTCCACCTGAAGTGAGCAAGAGGGGCAGCAGAGCGGCAGGAGAAGGGACAAAACGGGAATAAGGGTAAAGCACGCATGCCAGCCTGCCAGGTACTTCAAGAAATCTCCGTGCACCTGTGCTATCAGGTACTGTTCACGGCCTGCTGCTCGCTGAACGCAAGGAGAGCAAAAGGGACGGACAAGAAGCAGGGGTACGGTGGCAGGGGTGACACGGTAACCAGATGGAGGCAAGGGGAAAGTGTCAGCACAGTGCAGCTGGCAAGAACAGTGTGCAAGAGCAGCACAAGCAGGGCTATCCCTGATGTTTGGCAATCAAAGAGTGATGAGAGATGAAGGACACCAAGAATGGTGAAGAATGGTGAAGAATGGTGAAGAATGGTGAAGAATGGTGAAGAATGGTGAAGAATGGTGAAGAATGGTGAAGAATGGTGAAGAATGGTGAAGAATGGTGAAGAATGGTGAAGAATGGTAATGATGAGGAATGGTGATGGTGAAGAATGGTAATGATGAGGAATTGTGATGATGAAGAATGGTGCTGATGAAGAATGGTAATGATGAAGAATGGTAATGATGAAGAATGGTAATGATGAAGAATTGTAATGATGAAGAATGACGACACTGCTCTCTGTAGATCCCCCACCTGCTCCTGCTGCTGTCGAACCTCTTCCACACGCTTCTGTTGCCGAGCCTGCATTCGTTCCAGCCTCTCACGTTCGGCGCGCTCCGCCCTTCTCCGTCTCTTCTCAGCCTGAGCCTCCTCTGCCTGCTGCTGCAGCACCTTCTGTCGCTCCCTCCACTCCTCGTCCTCCATACTCCGAAACCCCTCGCTCTGCCGCATAGCCTCTCTCCCCATCTCCACTGCTGCTCCTGCCAAGGTTGCGTCTGTCAATGTTGCTTCTCCTGCTGTTGCTTCGGCTGCTGTTGCTGGTCCCGCTATTGCTCCTCCTGCCATAGTTGCTCCCATTGCCCCCTTATGCCCCTCTTCACTCTCCTTGCTTCCTTGGCCCGCCTTCTCCTCTCTCCCCTCTTTGTCCTCTTGTTCCTCCCTTGCTTCCTTCCCCCTCTCATGTCTGCCGTGTGCACCATCTCTCACCCCTCCCACCTCAGTCTCCCGCTCTCTTTTCTTTGTCTTGCCTTTTCCACTCCACATCCCACCATCCCTCATCCGATCATGCCTCAGTCCATCATCCCTCCTTTGCTTCTTCGGCGTTTTGTGGCCTCCATCCGAGCCTTCACTTAGCTCTTGATTTTCCCCTAACATCCCCTTCCCCCGAACTCTCTTCTCTCCACTCAGACTCCCCTGCCTCTTCTCCTCTACCTCTGCTCCTCCTGCTGTTGTGTCTCTCTCTACCTCTGCAGCTGTCTCTGTTGCTGCTGCTGCTGCGTTGACCCCACCCCTGCCTGCTGCTCCTATCCCACTCCTCTCTGCCGCCTCAACCCCACCCCCATCTGCTGTTCCTACCCCTCTTCTGTCTGCTGCTACTGAAGTGTCTGCAGCTTCTCCTGCCGCTGTCCTAATCTCTCTTCCTGCTTTCCCTTCGTTTCCTTCTGCTGCTGCGTCTGCCACTGTGATGATTGTTGCTTCTGCTACTCTTGCTGCACCTTCTGCTGCCTCTCCCGCTGCTCTCTCTGATACCCTGACTGCTGTTGCATCTGCAACTCTCTCCCCTCTTCCACCAGAGGCTTGCTGGCCTGCAGTCGCTCTGAAAACACGAGCCTCCAAGCTCCCTTCAGACCCGCTGCTTCCACTCCTACCTGCACCAGCCGCACCACTCCCCTTACCTACTGCCACTCCCCCACCAACCCCGCCCACCCTACCAGTCCCACCACTCCCCTTACCTACTGCCGCTCCCCCACCAACCCCGCCCACCCCACCAGTCCCACCACTCCCCGCACCTCCTGCGGCAGCAGAGCAACCTGCATTTGCATCACGGCTGTTCAATCCAGCCTTACCAGTAAATGCGTCTGACTCATCGCTGCTCGAAGCTGAGTCACCGTGACTAGGATCCGAGTCATCAACATCAACTGCGTCGAACCTTCCATGCCCACCCTTCCAGACCCCAGGCCCTACTGCCCCCCCTCCCTGAACCCCATGCACTCTCTGCTCTGCTCTCTGCTCTGCTCTCTGCTCTGCTCTCTGCTCTACTCTTTGCTCTGCTCTCTGCTCTGCTCTCTGCTCTGCTCTCTGCTCTGCTCTCTGCTCTGCTCTTTGCTCTGCTCTCTGCTCTGCTCCTTCAGCTGTAGCATTAGCTGCATTGGCTCGCTGAACACCATTGACCCCTTTCACTCCTTCAAATTCCTTGACTCCAAACGAAGCAGCACCAAACGAGGCAGCAACAAACGAGGCGAATTCAGGGTCGCTGGAACTGCTAGCAGCATGCTCTTCTTGACTGCTGGCCTCATCACTGCTAAGACTCTCAGCTTCCACCCACTGCCGCTGCTGCCGCTGTTGCTGTTGGTAGTGCTGCCGCCGCCGCTGCTGCTGCTGCTGCTGCTGCTGCTGCTGCTGCTGCTGCTGCTGCTGCTGCTGCTGCTGCTGCTGCTGCTGCTGCTGCTGCTGCTGCTGCTGCTGTTGGTAGTGCTGCTGCTGCTGGTGCTGCTGCTGCTGCTGCTGTTGGTTGTGCTGCTGCACTCGTTGCTGCTGCACTTGTTGCTGCTGCTGCTGGTGCTGGTGCTGCTGCTGTTGGTTGTGCTGCTGCACTCGTTGCTGCTGCACTCGTTGCTGCTGCACTTGTTGCTGCTGCACTTGTTGCTGCTGCACTTGTTGCTGCTGCACTTGTTGCTGCTCCTGCCCCTGCTGTTGCTGTTGTTCCTGCTGCTGTCGCTGCTGCTGCAGCAGAACTCGTTGCTGCTGCTCCATTTGCCACTGCGCTTGCCTCTTGGCTTGCCTCGCCTTAGCAGCAGCCTCCCACACTCGTCTCATCTCCTCTGCAGTACCAACCACCAAATCCTCCTCCTCCTCCTCCTCCTCCACCTCTTCTTCCCCACCCGCACCCCGGACAGCAGCAGCAGCACCAGCAGCAGCAGCAGAAGCAGCATCAGCAGCAGCACCAGAAGCAGCACCAGAAGCAGCATCAGCAGCAGCACCAGCAGCAGCCTCCCACACGTGCCTCATCTCCTCCGGGTCACCTACAATCAAACCCCCTTCTTCTTCTTCCTCGTCCTCCTCCTCAGCCTCCTCCTCACGTAAAGCAGCGGCGTTGGCAGCAGCAGCAGCCTCCCACATGCGTCTCATGTCGTCTGCAACGCCGCACACCAAGTCATTATCATCCTCCTCTGCTTCCTCTTCCTGCTCTTCCTTCTCCTCTCCTTTCCCCTCCTCCACGAAATCATCATCCTCTTCTTCCTCCTCTGCTTCCTCTGACTCCTCTGCAGCAGCAACAGCAGCAGCATCAGGAGCAGCAGGAGCAGCAGGAGCAGCAACAGCAGCAGCATCAGGAGCAGCAGGAGCAGCAACAGCAGCAGCAGCAGCAGCAGCAGCAGCAGCAGCAGCAGCAGCAGCAGGAGCAGCAGAAGCAACAAAATCGGCAACACCAGCATCAGAACCAGCAGCTTCCCACATGCGTCTCATGTCATCAGCATCGCCACACACCAAATCATCATCCTCCAGTGCTTCCTCTGACTCCTCTGCAGCAGCAACAGCAGCAGCAGGATCAGCAGGAACAGCAGAAGCAGCAGCAGTGTCAGCAGCAGTGGCAGCAGCAGTGGCAGCATAAGCATCAGCAGCAGCATTGAGACCAGCAGCCTCCCACATGCGTCTCATGTCCTCTGCATCGCCACACACCAAGTCATCATCGTCCTCTTCCTCCTCTCCCTGTTCTTCCTTCTCCTCCACTGTATCCTCCTCCTCCTCCTCTTCTGCTTCATCAACCTCCTCCTCCCCATCCACCCCCCCATACGCCATGGCAAGCAAAGAAGCAAAGCATGCATCAGCACCACTTGTGTCGTTTTCAAGCACATTAGTATTACCTTCGAAAGTGTCACCTTGAAGGCTATCACTTTCCATATTGTTACCTTCACTTTCCAAAAACGTTGTCACTCCTGCCCGCCTGCTTGTTGCTAGGGATGCTGGTGCTGTTATATGTTCACCTGTCGTTGCTGCGTCAGCAGTAGGATCAGGAGCAGCGTCAGCAGTAGGATCAGGAGCAGCGTCAGCAGTAGGATCAGGAGCAGCGGCAGCTGTAGGATCAGGAGCAGCGCCAGCAGTAGGATCAGGAGCAGCGCCAGCAGTAGGATCAGGAGCAGCGCCAGCAGTAGGATCAGGAGCAGCGCCAGCAGTAGGATCAGGAGCAGCGCCAGCAGTAGGATCAGGAGCAGCGCCAGCAGTAGGATCAGGAGCAGCGCCAGCAATAGGATCAGGAGCAGCGCCAGCAGTAGGATCAGGAGCAGCGCCAGCAGTAGGATCAGGAGCGGCCCCAGCAGCAGGATACGCAGCAGCAGCATAAGGAGCAGCAGCATCGACAGCAGCCTCAGGGGCAGCAGGACAAGCAGCAGCATCGAGAGCAGCAGCACAAGCAGCAGCAGCAGGATCAGCAGCAGCAGCAGAATCAGTAGTAGGATCAGCAGCAGCAGGATCAGCAGCAGCAAGATCAGCAGCAACAGGATCAGCAGCAGCAGGATCAGCAGCAGCAGGATCAGCAGCATCAGCAGTAGCAGCAGCGGTAGCAGCACGCAGAGCAGCAGACTCCCACATGCGCCTCATGTCCTCTGCATCGCCACACACCAAATCATTCGCTTCATCCGCTCCCTCAGCTTCCTCTGCTTCTTCCTTTTCCTCTTCCTTCTCCTCTTCCTTCTCCTCTTCATTCTCCTCCTCCCTCTCCTCTTTCTCCTTCTCCTCCATCTCCTCATCTCCTTCGTCCACCCCCCCATAAGCCATGGCAAGAGCAGCAGCTAAACAAGCAGTAGCACTCATGTCTTCGTCATACTTTTGCTGACCAGTGACATCCGCAGCCCCTTCGATATAGTCTCCTTCAATATTACCAGCTATCACGTTGTCCTCAATTACACTGTCACCTTCTTCATTTGCATCACACTCCCCCCCTTCCCTTCCCCTATCCCCTTCCCTCAGTCCATCTGTCATTACCGGGACTGCTGTAAGCACTGTTGGTGCTGCTGTAACTGGTGCTGTCACTGGTCCTCCTCCTCCTCCTTCACCTCTTCCATCTGTCATTACCGGGACTGCTGTAAGCACTGTTGGTGCTGCTGTAACTGGTGCTGTCACTGGTCCTCCTTCTCCTCGTCCTCCTTCTCCTTCTCCTCCTCCTCCTCCTTCACCTCCTTCTCCTCCTTCTCCTTCTCCTTCTCCTTCTCCTCCACCTTCCCATCCACCTCTTCCCCCTCCCTCCGTTGCTTCCAAACCGTCTCCTCCTCCTGCTCCTGCTCCTGCCGCCTCTGGCCGACCAGAGGCATGCATTCGCTGCTGCTTAGAATCATCAATAGTCCGAACAGCATCCGTCCATTCCTTCCCGCAAGTCCCCTCGCCTTTCCTCATATCAACATCATTCCCCACCCCCGTCATCCTCTCCTCGTTCTCCAACCCGTCACAGCTCATCTTTTGAGGTGCCTCAAAAAACCCCTCGTTTCCCCTCACATTAGCATCATTTCCCACCCCTGTCACCCTCTCCTCATTCTGCAACCCTTCACAGCTCATTTCCAAATCACAACCATTCTCAAATCTTCTAGAAGCCCAGTGACCCTTGACCATTCTGGGTGCTCCATCCAAACAATCACGTCCGTCCGTTTCACGGGATCTTAGCCGCTCCGGCTCCTCTGCCTGAACCTGAAATCTCCTACCGAGCTCCTCTGCTGGAACTGAAATCCTAGCCGTTGGATCATAACAGATTCCTCCTGTTAATTTGCCAGTCAACTCATCTGCTCCCCTCTGTGCATCCACTTCTCGATCCAAATTCACGTTCCTTTCAGCTGACTCGTCTGTTTCCGCTTCGTTATACGCACATCTCTCATGCTGCCTGACAGCTGCTTCGCTATAAGCACCTTCGTTCTCACGTGTATTTACTCCTTCATGAGCTTCTGAAACAGCATGTCTGTCCCTACGATCATGCTGCACTGCTTCCTGAGAGCTTCGACCGTCTAAACGTCTGCTGCTTGCTGCTTCCGGCGAGCTTCGATCATCCAAGCATCTATCGCGTGTTGTTGCTTGCACCGAGCTTCCAGGATCCAAGCGTCTGCTCCCTATTGGCTGCGACGTTCGAGCATCCAAACCAGTCCCGAAACTACATCCTAAGTTAGGTCCTACACTCGGTTCTAAACCAGGTCCTAAACCGGTCAGTATACCACCAGCTACAGTTGAAGCGTGACGAGCTGGATCTGTTCTTTGAGAATTCTCAAAAGACTGACGAGCTGGAGCGTCTCGATTGGAAGTCTCTGGAAGTACAGTTGGACCGTCGAGTGCCGTGCGTGAGGAGCACACGCCGTGCGCGTTGGCAGCAGTAACGGACGTGGTCGGAATACGTGTAGTAGGATCGTCCTTACGTGTATTAGGATCACTATCAAGCATCACAAGATCGTCATCATCATCCTCTTCCTCTTCCTCGTCATACTCCTCGTACCCCTCCTCCTCTTCCTCCTCCTCTTCATCTTCGTCAATATCGTAGCGTACTATAAGTGGGTTACAGTCGCGATTCCTGTCAGCCGGACCGTTGGACGCCGTCACGTCTTCGTCAAAGTCGTCGTCGCATACTATCACTTCTACCCCCTCCGGAATCCGAGACTTGACGGAGTCGCAAGCCATCAGAGCGGAAATAAAACGAATGACAAACTCTGAGAGATGTGGAAATGATTTTCAGATATTAAAAGATGTGTAACGCATATCAACAAGCCTCGATGGCGCAGTCGGTAGCGCGTAGGTCTCATAGCAACCCGACGTCCTTAAAATAGGACGGAGCCATTCTAAGGTCGTGAGTTCGATCCTCACTCGGGGCAGCCCTTTTCCCTAATTTAAGGATTCGGCTGCACAGCCCATCCATCTAGAAGTGGTTCAAATTGGTGAAGCTAGACTTGCCACACCAGAGTGGTGGTGGCTTACACAACACCCTCTTTTGGGCCTTCAAATATTGATGTTCTACTAACCAGTAAATATCACAGATATCACCCTCGCTTCTACTTTCATCTTTTCTAAAAACAAACCGCATGAGGTGGCCTATGTTGTGCAAGGCCACTGATATTGTTGTATGCTGAGAATATGAAAAGGTACACTATGACTTGATGAGAGTACACCCGACACCTGCATCCACCAGCCTGCTTGACCTTCCCCTCACCTCGTAGCACCGAATGACTGGGTCGCAAAGTGGTCATCCCGTAATCGCATAGCCTTCGTCGCACCGGCGTCGTCGATCTCGAAGTAGGAACACAACGGGGTGTGTGAACTAGGGAAACAAGGGATACAAATAGCAACCCTAAAAGTCTTGTACTCCCTAGAGTGCTACTCACTGTAGCCTAAGAATCTATAATAACATTTGACACACCCCCATAGGCTAAGTGAGGGGCATCAAAGCAAGCAGGGTGAACAAACGGTCACAAGACCAGTCAATGCAAGAAGCAAAGCAAGCTCAGGGTGGATCTCAAGGACACCACACAAATTCCGAGCACAAGCAAGCGGCCACAAGGCCAGTTCAAGAGTTTACTAGGATATATATAGCAAAGGACAACAAGCAGAGCAAATACCGTAGCAAGTCTACAGCAAACGAGAGCCTACCTCAACAAGCCCCAACTGCACACAGAACCTGTGGTGGTCACCAGGCGCCAAGGCCTTGGTGAAGACATCGGCAGTGTTGGCCTCTGAGGCCACAAAGTCCAAGCGTGCCTAGCCGCGTCGCTGCAACTCTCGTAGGAGGAAGTACCTCACGTCAATATGCTGTCTAGTCGAGGCTCTCGACACAGGAGGATCATGGCATTGTTGTCAGCGTACAAGGTCGGTGCAGAGTGAGGCCGCTCACCAAGGTCGGCGAGCAAGAAGGTCAACCAGCGAAGCTCCTGTGCTGCCATGGCACCAATGTAGATCTCTGCCTCTGCACTGGACGAAGCCACATACGACGATCGTGTAGACCTCCACGACACAGCACCAGCACCCAGACTGAAGCAGTAACCCAGAGTCGAGCGCCGAGTCTCCACGTCGTCAGCGTAGGAAGAGTCGCAGTGACCGGTCAACACAACTGGCTGTGTCCCTCCAAGCATAAGCCCCTTGCCTGATGTAGTCGCCAGGTACTTCGCCACCCTCACAGCAGCTGTCCAGTGGACAGGACGGTGTCTCCCAGTCGCAACAAAGCAAGAGAGGACGCTGAGGGGAAAGGCGAGGTCCGGCCGAATACAAGTCATCAGGTACATGCGGCAGCCCACAAGCTCTGCGTAGGGGCCACTAGACTCAAAGGGCTCGTCGGGAAATGGGCCAGTAAGTCGGTGGTCAACGGCAAGAGGAGTGGGCTGTGTGGTGGAGAACTGAAACTCGAACCGCCGAAGGACCCGCTGCACCATGTGTGACCGAGTCAGTGTGATGGTGCGAGCGGCTCTGTCCCTGATGATCTGCAGGCCAAGGTAGCGCTA